CGAAGCGGAGTCCAGCCCGGGGTCGTCACATGTGGTTGCCGCAAGCCCTCCGGACGCTCCTTCGTTGAATCCGCCGGCCGCGCCGTTCTCAAACCCGCCGGCCGTTCCTCATTCTAGCCGCCGCTCACTCTAGATCATATGACCCCTTTAAAACTAGAGGCCTTATCTGCTGTTAGTGGTAAAGCGAAATCATGTCTGTAACGTCATATGCTCACGCATATATATGTGTTTACATAGTATCAACGCTTGTCCAGATGTGAAATATGGGAAGCGCATCCATGTTCTGCCCATTGATGACACTATCGAGGGGCTAACAGGCAACCTGTTTGAGGTTTTTCTAAAGCCGTATTTCCTGGAGGCCTACCGACCTGTTCACAAAGGTACACATGTTTATTCAGTGTGCTAAATACATGAATATAAGAGTTTGGTTTTGCATTTGGACAGCTGGGGTTAGGATCTGAAGAGAAGTCAGGGTTTAATGTTTTTGGTAATTTAGTAAAGCAGAAGTCTTAAAGAAGGAATCAATACTATTTTTGCGGCATGTAATTATTCTGCACTACTTACCAAAAAAAGCTTAATCCATTTAAAAGGGCTTTGTTAATCAGGCAAGCAGGCACAGTTTTCAATCAGCGCCAGTTATCTTAAAATATTGTCCAATTAATCTGCCAATGGAATACAATATAGCACTGCAACACATCAGTGTCATTTTACTATAATTTATATACTATTCTATTGTTTATAATTTTAATTTAAGTTTTATTTATTTTGTTGTCTCATGGCATTTTTTATTAGTTTTACTTTTAGTCATTTTAGTACTTCAACTGCAAGTTTATATTTTTCATCTAATATTTATTTTTCATTTTATGATCGCTTTATCTCAATTAAAAGATAATATTTTCAATAGATGTAGTTTTGCTTAACATTGCCAATACCGCAAGGGACAACAGTAGTTCAGTACACACTCATTAGTCTATGCATCATATTTCACAATGTACCAAAATTCACAATGGAGTTTGTCTTCGTTTATGCTTTCTGCAGGTGATATTTTCCTGGTCAGAGGAGGCATGAGAGCAGTGGAGTTTAAAGTCATAGAAACAGACCCCAGCCCACACTGCATCGTTGCCCCGGATACCGTTATCCACTGTGAAGGAGAACCAATCAAACGAGAGGTAAGTGCGGTTTCATCATACCTTTCATCATATTTTCTCCATTTCAACATCTGCACCACGTCATGATGTCATATGTTGATGGTGTCAGGATGAGGAGGAGAGCCTGAATGACATCGGGTATGATGACATCGGGGGTTGTCGTAAACAGCTGGCTCAGATTAAAGAGATGGTAGAGCTGCCTCTCAGGCACCCCGGCCTGTTCAAAGCCATCGGAGTGAAGGCAAGAATCACCACACACATCTCTCTATTGTCTAACTTAACTAGACATTTGCATTTCATACGTACATTTATAAATAAAGAAAATCACTCACACATGTATATAATTACGAACAACTTGTGTTCCCCAGCCTCCGAGAGGAATTCTGCTGTACGGTCCACCCGGGACAGGCAAGACGCTGGTGGCTCGTGCAGTTGCTAATGAGACGGGAGCTTTCTTCTTTCTCATCAATGGTGCATATGCACACTTGAAAGCCGCATTCTGAAACTGTTGTGACTGTTGGTTGCCCTGCAATAACGGATGCCTGTAAACACTAAAACTCTACTACAGAATGCAACTGAAAGCTGCTTATTGATATTTTTTACACTGACGTCCACTTGTATCACTTCATGCATTTACCTTGAAAAGCCAAACAGATGATCCTTGTGACAAATGATTTTGGTCTTGACAAAACAGGCAGATCACATTGTATCGCTGTGCCAAATATCAAATATCAGTAACACTGCTGTATTTCCAGGCGTTACGCAATTTCAGTGTTGCATTTCCTGTGCTTAATGCCATTGCTTTTGTATCCCAGGTCCTGAAATCATGAGTAAACTGGCAGGGGAGTCTGAGAGTAACCTGAGAAAAGCTTTCGAGGAGGCCGAAAAAAATGCCCCTGCTATCATCTTCATCGATGAGCTGGATGCAATCGCTCCGAAACGAGAGAAGGTAAGGAGAAGAAACAGGTATGTTATGTAACTATATACAGTCTGGTGTTTGTCATTGGTTTGATGGTTATGCCGTGTCTGTAGACTCATGGTGAGGTTGAGCGGAGGATCGTCTCTCAGCTGCTCACACTGATGGACGGCCTGAAACAACGCGTTCATGTTGTAGTTATGGCAGCCACAAACAGACCCAACAGTGTGGATCCTGCTCTTCGGCGTTTTGGTGCGAACATACGCATATGCACATTCATGCTGAGAGTAATTTGCATCAACAAATGAATGGGCCAAAATATGCTTTCTACAGAAAGGTCAGTTGTAAATGTCGTGTCGTAGGTCGTTTTGATCGAGAGATTGACATTGGCATCCCCGATTCCACCGGCAGGCTGGAAATTTTACAAATTCACACCAAGAACATGAAACTGTCGGACGATGTGGACCTGGAACAGGTGAGGATGACGAGAGTGATGGAGGGTCTTAAGTCATGTCAGATATTTTATAACTGGACGTTTCTGTTTATGGTAGATCTCCGCTGAAACGCACGGGCACGTGGGAGCAGATATGGCTGCTCTGTGTTCAGAGGCAGCGCTGCAGGCCATCCGCAAAAAGATGATCTTAATTGATCTGGAGGACGACAGCATCGATGCAGACCTTCTCAACTCGCTGGCCGTCACCATGGATGACTTCAAGGTCAGCTTCAGCATTTCACATACACAGATTATGCTTCAATTTTTAAATCTTTTCCATTCCAGAGGGCAAAGCTATTGCTCAGATGTTGCTCCCACAAGTCTTCAGAATTTTTTTTAACAATGATTAATCTTTTTTAATCATATTTGATGTTGTATTGGAGTGCTGCCTATGAGGCTATTGGCTTTGACAAATTCTTCAAATATTAGATTATGCATTGTGATGTATTGCATATACTTGGACTGCTGTAGCGCAACTACGCAAACACCTTCTGTCTCTCAACTATAACATGAAACATTGCTGAAATCCCCTCTAAAACTCTAGAGATTTCTGGGGTCTTTTTCTCAGTATAACAATCTGAGAAGCATTACTTCTAAATTCTCATTTGCTTCCATTTTTAATCTTAGTCCTGTCTAGGAGAAACCATTGGAACATTAAAGAGATCTCTTTTGTGATTTTTCTCTCCTTTGGGAATTATATCTATGGTTTTCTGCACTTCCAGTGGGCTCTAAGTCAGAGTAACCCATCTGCTCTGAGGGAGACGGTGGTGGAGGTTCCACAGGTAAACTGGGAGGACATTGGAGGACTTGATGAGGTGAAGCGAGAGTTACAGGAGCTTGTCCAGGTAAAACCACAAACATGCACACACACACACACACACACACACACATACATACAAACAGGTATGAGATGGTCATTCGCTCTCTCTCTGTTAAGTATCCCGTGGAGTATCCTGATAAATTTCTGAAGTTTGGGATGACTCCATCTCGAGGGGTTTTGTTCTATGGTCCACCTGGTTGCGGCAAAACCCTACTAGCCAAAGCCATTGCCAACGAGTGCCAGGCTAACTTTGTGTCTATTAAAGGTATGTGTGTGTGAGAGAAACTGAAGTTAAAAAAGGACAGGCTGAGCATGAGCACACTTGTGTGTGTGTGTAATCTATTCCATATTTTGAACTGATTTCAGGCCCAGAGCTGCTCACCATGTGGTTTGGTGAATCAGAGGCAAATGTCAGAGATGTGTTTGACAAGGTGAACAAACTACTGTCAATGACTATCACACTTTTTACACCTGGTTATAACATCCTAGACATATTCCTGTGATGGCAAAGCTGAATTTTCACCAGTTTACTCCTGTTTTTAGTGCATTTCTTATTATTTTTACAGTTGATACATCCCTCTACCTGACATGCCCTCCCGCTCTGCCATCCTGCGCGCCAACCTCCGCAAGTCCCCTATCGCTAAGGTCATTCACACAAAACCTAAGACATACATACATGCATCTCCACATAAAACCACCCTCTAACTGTGCGCTTTTTGTGTGTTTTTCAGGACGTGGACCTGGCATATCTGTCCCGTATAACAGAGGGATTCTCAGGAGCAGACCTGACTGAGATCTGTCAGAGGGCCTGTAAGCTTGCTATAAGAGAAGCCATAGAAGCAGAGATCCGTGCTGAGAGACAGCGCCAAGCCAGGAAAGAGACTGCTATGGTTAGTGCGTATGTGATTGAAAAACCCTTACAGAACAAAAATATTACATAAGTATAGTATAGTATTACATAATACATTTCCATATATGGGAAACTAGTACTTATATTTTTCAGTATACTGTAATATATGCATTGACCATGTGTGGCAATATATTGGTACATATAAAAATATTTAGAAATGAAGACAAAAATAGCAACAATCCTTTATTGTGCACATATATTGCACATACATATTCCTATACAATTATGAATGTATGTACACACATTCACGAATGAGTTACAGCTATATATGAAAATATGAAACAAATATAATGTAAATAATTATAAAATATAAGAAATATATATATGTCTATGTGTGTATATACTGCATGGGTGAATATATGTGCAATATATTTATACACATGCAGTACCATATCTTATCACATGTACATCCATATGTTATTAAGTGTATTCCTGAACATAAAATTACATATATTATAATATATAATAATAAGTATATTGTCACATATTTTTCGATATATGAAAACGGCAATTCCTTATTCAATATATTGTAATATATTAACACAATATATTATTCTGTATATTTTCAATATACCGTTAAATCATTTAATATATTGATCATTCATATATAAGGAAATACATTTTCTTTGCGTAAGGGTGCACCATGGTGGGTTGGACACACATTTAAAGAGAATGATTAAGTCCTGGTTCCTGAACACGCATGCATAGAATAGCATAGAAGAAGAATATGCTAAAATATACCCGTTTTTTTTTTTTTCAGACTAATCATGTTGAGCAGCCCATCTTTTCCTCACATTTAAATTTACATTTAGTCATTTAGCAGATGCTTTTATCCAAAGCGACTTCAAAGCAGTCAAAACTAACAAAAGAGCAAAACTTTATTTTCCTTTTATTTGAAATAAAATTATATATAATTTGTTTGTGATTTTTATTAGTCATGTAGGATATGCTGTGACTTATTATATCATGTGTGTTACAAGCTTGGGATGGAGCAGCTGAGTCCTTAGCCATCTTCAAGAAAACACATTTCTTCCATCTTTATTTGATTGCTCTTTTGTTGATTTTGATTGCCTCCATTGTCCTCATTTGTATGACAATGTAAATGTAAAATAGTGTTTGTGTGTGTGTGTGACTTTCATCACATAAAAGTCGACTTCAAAAAATCAAAAAATCAGAAGTCGTTCAACCCCTAGTGTGTGTGTGCGTGTGTGTGTGTGTGTGTGAGTGTGTGGTTTCCTACGAAGAAATGTAGAAAATACAAAAGATTACAGCACTGTGTAACATCACTTAAATAAATTTGCCTATACACTTTTTTACATATATACATCACATTTCTTATCAATATACATTTAATGATTAACAATAAAGATTAAAAATAAGGACAAAGATGCACATTACAAATACGTCGTCCCAGATAAACACAACATCCCGCTTAATAACAAGCATGTACTTCAAAGATGCACAAATAAAGATATAAGTGCAAACAGAATACTATACAGTGATGTCAACCTTGGTTTTAATAAGCAGTTTTCAGTGAAACTGATGAGTCACATGGTAAAAGTTTGGCCCATATGTGCTCAGCCATGCCAAACCTAGGCCAAATGTGACAGCTATCAGCCACATTTGGCCCAAAAGTTCTTGCTATCTGGGACGCATCTAGCAAGAACTTAATGGTAACAGATACACAAAATAATAATATTGATTCAAGCATTTAATATTTATGAGTTAATTAACTTAAATGTCAATGATGAACAATACTGCACAAATTATAGCGATCACGAAGAGGTTCCTTATTCTGTCCCAAAAGCGTACAGTAAAGTGGATATGCAGTATACAACACCCCATCAGTTCAGTACTGCCACCTGTTGGCGCAGTTGTGTAACTTAGAGAACTACTTTTGTTATGTCGAGATCACAAGAAAACAAGAAAGAAAAATATTGCATGGCCTCAGGACTTCCGTAATAGAAGACACTTTCTCAAACAAGTTAATTTACAAACTTAGCCTAAACGTTCAATTAACCGAACTATTTTAAGTAAATATTAGCTTCATAACTTACCACAAAACAAATTCGCAGACACATGAATCCACATTAGTCTGTCAATAAACAAAACATTAATTTCGGTTCCACATTACTTTTAATCCAATTCTGTTTAACTAGGCCTGGCAATGTTATTAATCATTTAAGAATCATAAATACGCGCATTAATACATCAAATAAATGAAATTAATCAGAGCGAGTTGACTGACCATTAGTTTTTGAATTTCTGTGGCGGGCTTTCATTCACTTCTCCTATTCCCGCGGAAATCTTGCTACATAAAGTATACTTTAAAATATACTTGAACTTTACTTAAGTATACTTACTAAAATAAACTTGAAGTATACTACTTTTTGGTAAGGGATAGCTTGAGAAGAAAACAATTAAGATGTAAATTGTATTAATATTCTGTCCATTCTGTTTGGAATATATATATAACAAGTTTTTGGTTGTAGTTTAAAAAAGCTCATATTTGATTATTATTATTATTATTAATTTTATTTGAATCAAAAGCCATAAGTAGACGTCCTGTTTAATGTTAATGCGACGTACGTCTGTCTCTGACTAGGAAATCAAATAATAATCTAACTGAACTGCGATTTTATTGCATTTTATTAAGGAGAGAAGCGGAAAATATGTTAAATTGATATACAAATTAAAATCTAAAGCTAATTCATGTAATTCTTCTTGTAACGTGTGTTATGAAAGCAGCCATATCAGCTATGGAGCCAGATCAGCCTCACAAATAATAAATGTACAAAACAAAATTCATAAATGCACAGCACAATTTACATTTACAAAGTCTGATTCGTAAATTCAAAATACACAAGTAAAAGCATAAATAGTTCCCCAAATGCTCACAAATGCATCTTACCTAAATAAATTTAAAATGTTTTCACAAATATGTATACATAAAGTTCTTGAATTAATTTCCATCACACATTTATGAATGATGTTACATGCATTTATGGATCGTTGAATCTGCATTTGCAAATCGACTGCTTTGAATTTGTTTGCTTTGAGACCTTCCTGACGGGTTAAGATTCATAAATATCTTTTTTTGGATGTAACAACTGATCTGGCTCCATAATCAGCGACTGATTTTATTGATTTTAAGTTAAAACTTTTGACATTCATGACAACATTTTGACACTCGAGGCGGAACGGATTAATTAGTGTCGAGGGCGTTCAGGAGTGTGTTACTCGTTGCGCGTGTTTACTTCCGGCGCAGACCGGAAACATCAAAGGGTTTCTGGAGGTGACCGAATGGCAGTGTGCAGAATTGATAAAGATTACTGCATTATAACAGATTATTTTCAGAGGTTAAGCTGTTTTTGCTGTCAGTGGTGATAAACCGCGTTCAGAATGGGGTCCCACCTCGTGCGGAGTTACATCACGGAAAGAGACGCGACGCCAGACCCGAGGAAACCGTCTGCATACGCCCCGCAGCTGGGCTTCCCTGAGCGGGAGGAGAGAGGTGACACAACACCGCTCAGCTACACGCTCTCCAGCGCTTTTCAGACATTATCCGTCACTTTCAGACTTGTTTTAGTCTGTAAACATGAACCGCGAGTCTTCAGGTCCTCAGATTGACTTTGAGCTTCAGGTCCAAACAAGAGGCTTCAACAAAAACGCCCTTAATTGTGTCTGTTTAGTTTGGTGTCTATTTAGCTGAAAGTTGTGACCTGTATTCTTGTAGCGTTGGTGTCAATATAACTCAGAGTCATGTCGAGTTGACTAAATTACTAGGGGCCAGTTGCATAAACACGGACACCATGTTTGTACAGTCATAACTAGTTTGACTAACTAGCAGTAAGAAATAACTAGCAGCAAGGTAATCAGTCTTACTTGACTAATTTAAATTGGGCCAATATACCTTTTTGTAACTGACTTTAAAAAGTTCTGAAGAAAACATATTGGATGACTAACTTTTTAAGGCTAATCTACGCAGTTTATGCGAAAAAAGGCCCAGATTTTTTATTTATTTAAATTGCATAAATCTTAAAAGCTTAAAAACTCAACATTTACTTCCATCTGGATTGCAGTTTTAACATTAACTAGTAAACTGATGCATATTTGTCAGTCATAAATAAATGCAGCAGGCAAGAACAGGGTAATATTTCTAAATTCAAAATATATATATATAGTTTTTTTGCATCTGTTCGATTTTATTTAATGTTCAAAATACAGTTATTCAAATTGCTTAGAATCAGCACAAATCTGTTCATTGTGAAAACAATAAAATTTATTCAGTTAAAAAAAATGTGAACATGGTTAAAATATGGCTAGTTGTTGGACAAACAATATTCAGGTAAAATATGAAACATCAGATTTATTGATGATAAATATATAACACATACTCACCCTGTAGCTATGAGAGAGAGGGACACATACATATGTCCTGATTATAAATGTAGGGGTGCAGTTATTTTCCGTCTCAGCCAATGGACTAAAACATGCACCGTTTCGGTAGTGACATGGAAAATGCAGGACATATTTTTTAACCAAGTTTCATAATTTACTAAGAAAAAAATATATATATTTAAATAGAATTTTAAGTTAAAGTTGAGGGGTTAGGGTTCGGGACAACCACCTCCCAAATGAAAGTACCCAATAAATGATGATTTTATATATTATTAAGCTTACTAATTTTTTAAATATTAGTGTGGGTTTCAATAGATAATAGAAGGATTTTAGTAAACATCTAAGATGTGAATACTTAAATGCTTTTTAAATGTGTTTTTTGGTTGTGGGACAACAGTTTGCACCAATTCTGTAGAATCTGTAGAATATATTTTATATTTGTGACCCTGGAGCACAAAAGCAGTCTTAAGTCGCTGGGGTATATTTGTAGCAATAGCCAACAATACATTGTATGGGTCAAAATTATAGATTTTTCTTTTATGCCAAAAATCATTAGGATATTAAGTAAAGATCATGTTCCATGAAGATATTTTGTAAATTTCCTACCGTAAATATATCAAAACGTAATTTTTGATTAGTAATATGCATTGCTAAGAACTTCATTTGGACAACTTTAAAGATGATTTTCTCAATATTTAGATTTTTTTGCACCCTCAGATTCCAGATTTTCAAATAGTTGTGTCTCTCACAAATATTGTCCTATCCAAACCATACATCAATGGAAAGCTTATTTATTCAGCTTTCAGATGATGCATAAATCCCAATTTAAAAAAATTGACCCTTATGACTGGTTTTGTGGTCCAGGGTCACTTATATATAACATTTTAGTTGTTTTGTGTTTAAAAGGTTTAAAAACTTTTCACCCTTTGACTCCAAATGCTTGAATCTGGCTAAGGTTGAGCTGTCATACCTAGTTCACTCTGTAGTGTAACAGAAGGATGAACGTGATGTATCGTTTGTAGTTGGTGATTGATTTTCTCGTGAAACTCATCTCCTTTGCTTCGTGTTGTTAGTAATGGTGGCGACGCACGTGCAGATGAACCTGGCCATGCTGCCGGTGGAGCAGCGCGATTACTGCGCTCACTACCTGCTCAAACTCCTCAAGTGCAAGAGAGACAATTTCCCCAACTTCCTAGCCTGCAAACACGAGAGACACGACTGGGACTACTGTGAACATCAGGAGTACGTCAACACGCATTCAGACACATCCACTCATTGAACTGCACTACTGCAGATGCAGGCACTGGTTTAAGATCGTTTTCACTGATTTCATATCAGCAGATTGGACTTTGAAAGCATATTTGTTTCCCAAAGTAATTGCATTAAATTCGGCTTGAACAAAATTGTAAATCCTGCTAGATTAATTATTTAGATGAGCACAGTTTCAGAAGTTTTTAACATTTCCCTGAATAAATATTATTCTTTCTTACATTTTTTTTTTTTATCTTTACAAAGTTTAATAATTTATCAATAATAATACAAATCTTAAAAGTTAAAATAATTTATATTAATTAGTAAAACACAATACATTTTTAAATGATTTAAAGTGAAAGTGTAATTTGAAGTAGGCCCACAACTGTTATATACAACAAATTATCATCACGTTTCACTCTGTGGTGATCAGTAGTTATGCAAGAAGTAATTTTTTGCATGCTCAAAATTTGTTTTGGTGAATTTTTAAAAATGTTTCTCGTGAGTTTCTCTTCTTCTTTGCAGTTATGTGATGAGGATGAAAGAGTACGAGAGAGAGAGAAGACTGAACTTGAGGAAAAAGAGGATCGAGGAAAATGCAGCATAAATATCCCACCCTCGTCTTCAGTTCTCCATCAGTTGTTTCTCTGTATATAAATGGCTCTCTCAATAATAAAGATTATCTTGTGAGCTCTCAAAACATGAATGGAGCATTTTCTTAAAACACACAGGGGTGCATATGAGCAAAGACTTTTATCCAGAGTTATGCTGCACAACCAATCTAGCAGAATATAATAAAATGCTACACTTCATGAATTACACGGCATGTATTATGAATGTAAACAGACAAAACGCAAGCCAATGACAGTGTTTTTTTTATTTTATATAAATTGTTAGGTCAACAAAACAGTTCTGACATCTGCAGTCTGCGCCAAGTTACCTTTAGCTTCACGTGTAGCCTAATAATCACTCTTGGAAACTTCTCTACAGTCGCTGGTCTTCAACCGGTTACTTCAGGTCCTCTTGTTAGTGTTTTTTTGGTTATTGAGTGACAAGCAGAACTAAACATCTTTACTGAACTCACAGCCATCACACTGTCAGTGCATATCAGAGATCTCAAAAACAGATACAGTAGCACGTAGTGCACTCAAAATACAAAATGACTCCCGGCAGCTGAGCACAAACGAGCTACAGAGGGGCAAATACTGTAAATACATGTACATGTTGGACCAGTTTCCCCTCAAAGCTTCTTAAAAATAAAAATTCTGTCATTTCACAACCTCAAGGTTTTTTTTATTTATTTTTTTACTTCTACGAGTTTTTCTTCTGTTGAACATAGATGATGTTTAGAAGAGCGTTGGTAATCAAACAGCTGTCGGCAGCCATTGACTTCCATAATATGGAAAAACATTCTATGGAAGTCAATGGCTGCCATCAACTGTTTGGTTACCAACATTCTTCTAAACATCTTATTTTGAGTTCAGCACAAGAAAGAAACTCCTACAGGCTGAGCACAAACGAGCTACAGAGGGGCAAATACTGTAAATACATGTACATGTTGGACCAGTTTCCCCTCAAAGCTTCTTAAAAATAAAAATTCTGTCATTTCACAACCTCAAGTTTTTTTGTTTTTATTTTTTTACTTCTACGAGTTTTTCTTCTGTTGAACATAGATGATGTTTAGAAGAGCGTTGGTAATCAAACAGCTGTCGGCAGCCATTGACTTCCATAATATGGAAAAACATTCTATGGAAGTCAATGGCTGCCATCAACTGTTTGGTTACCAACATTCTTCTAAACATCTTATTTTGAGTTCAGCACAAGAAAGAAACTCCTACAGGTTTGTAACAACTTGAAGGTGAATAAATGATTTTTTTTGTTTTTTTTTTGGGGTGAACTATCCCTTTAAGATAAAACGTCCATGTCTGGAGGAAATTATTTTGATATTAAGTACATGACCATTAAAGGATTTGTATTGACGTTTTATTCTCCCTTCAAATTTTCATGAATGTAATGCAAAAAAAAAAAAAGATTTTATTACAATCATCAATTAAGGACAACAACATGTTCATGTTGCATACTAATTGTTTTTTTCACATTACAGCAGCTACTGAGAATTAAGGGTGTGTTCGATCATGAAAATAATGTTAAAATCTTACTGGTCCTAAAATGTGCTCTATTATCTTTGTGCAAAATATAAGTTCTTATTTCTTTGACTGAATTATGATCTGGACATGCTCTTGATCATTTTCATGAGATTTCCCCAGATGACAGACATCATGCAACCCACAGAGGGCGATATGGAGCCATTAGAACCAAGCTTCTGGAGGTTCTGGATCTGAGCTGACTTTATTATTCAGAATCAGTCCGTTCCAAGAGATGAGCAAATGCAGGAAAGATGCATGTGAAACGAATAGAGGCGAGCCATGGACACAGTATAAAAGAGATGATGAGGGGAGGACGGGAGAAGAGGAAAAGGTTCAAAAGACGAGGGGAACACTGCGTGACTCTGTCCTACAGGATGAAGGGCAGGATGGGCGAGCGCAGCGTGGGATAGTCGCGGAACTCCTTCAGGTAGCTGCGGTGCTTTCCTTTCGCCCACACGGTCATCTGAATGAAGCCCACCAGCGTGAAGGCGGCCACGGGCAGACACTGGGTCATCAGAGTGAAGCCCAGCCACGAGCCCAGCTGCGTTTACACACACAGACCAGAGCAAATTCAGTTCATGTGATTTAAAAAAAACACGATAGAAAAAAATCAGTAAGAAAAAATATATATATAATAATAATATATATATATATATATAAAACATTTCTTAACTTACTGATTTTTTTATATATATACATGTAAGGTTACACCTTACAATAAATGCCCTGTAGTTAACCTTAGTTAATTGCATTGGTTAACGAACTAACAATGAAAATTTCTTCTAAAGCATTAATTAATCATAGTTCATGTTAATTGCAAAATGTACTAATACATTTTTAAAATCAAAACTTGTGTCTGTTAATAATGAACCTGAGTTAACATGAACTAACAATGAGCGTGTATTTTTATTTAGTAACATTAACAAAGATTCATAAATACTGTAATAAATGGGTTGCTCATTGCTAGTTGATGCTAGTTAATGCATTAACTAAGGTTAACTAAGGAAGGTTATTGTAAAGTGTTGCCAACAGTAATGACAATAATTATCACATAAAATAATTCATATATACAAATAATCATCATCATCATAATGGTAGATTATATTCATGCAGTTTTGTTCTTTTGATTTTGAGGTGTGTAATATGAATTTCCTGATGTATTTCATGAGCTTCACCCTTTAGAGGTTTGTCTTATTGATATATAACCGAGGTCCTGTGACGGATTCAGAGCATCACTAATTTGATAAAACAACATTTCTGAGTTCAGTTAAATCAGCACTCAGAGGAAATCAGCTGTCAGTCAAACAGCATCCGGGCTGAGTGTGGCCATCTGACCTCATACGTGTAGTTGGGGCAGGAGACCAGCAGGAAGATCCAAGTAAAGGGGTTTTTAGTCGGATATGGGATCTTCCTAGTCTTAGATCCTGCAGAAAGAAAAAAAAAATCATTACTTTTGGCAGTCTAATCAAATAATGAGTCAAGAAACAGATTAAAAAAAGCAAAGACAACAGACTATATGTGACCCTGGAGCACAAAACCAGTCATAAAGGTATATTTTTTTTATTGAGATGTATACATATATAATAAGCTTTCCATTGATGTATGGTTTGTTAGGATAGGACAATATTTGGCCGAGATACAACTATTTGAAAATCTGGAATCTGAGGGTGCAAAAAAATCAGAATACTGAGAAAATCACCTTTAAAGTTGTCCAGATGAAGTTCTTAGCAATGCATATTACTAATCAAAAATTAAGTTTTGATATATTTACAGTAGGACATTTACTAAATATCTTCATGGAACATGATCTTTACTTAATATCCTAATGATTTTTGGCATAAAAGAAAAATCAATAATTTTGACCCATACAATGTATTTTTGGCTATTGCTACAAATATACCCCAGCGACTTAAGACTGCTTTTGTGCTCCAGGGTCACACACAAACACATATTTCTGTGTGGGATCTTACCTGGAGGTCGAAGATTTCTCAGGGCAATGTGGATGGAGAAGTTTCCGATCTGACAGAACTGTGACCGTAAAGAGATCATTAGTCCTGTTAGACTGAAGCTCTGACCTGAGGTCAGTTTCATCATGTATTAGGTAACGATTGAGACTTTTAGCATCCTGTATAAAAACAGATCTTACCAGGAACACGATGAGGGCCAGTCTGATCTGCTGTTCTCCATAGACTGCAACACAAACATGAGCGAGAGCTGAACACACATTTAAACCCACCAGCGGAGAACGTCAGTGTCATTTATAAATCCATATAAACGTAACATTGGCTTAATTGTTGTTTTATGAATCAGGAACCACTAAAGTAAACCAAAACATATACATAAACTACGGTTCAAAAGTTTGAGGGTTGGTGAGATTTTGTCATGTACATTTTATTTGATCAAAAATACATAAAAAAAAGAAACATAATATTGTGAAATATCATTGCAATTTAAAATACTTTTTGTATCTGAATAGATTTAAGAATGCGATTTATTCCTGCAATGCGAAGCTGAATGTTTAGTGTATGAATGCGTGTGGACTCACTGGGTGGCGTGTACAGAGGGTGGTTGATGTAATAAGCCATCCAAGCTGCAAAACCCCAGTAGTATGTGCAGTTCTGCAAAACACACAGTTAAATGTTTTAATATTACTGCAATAATATCTGAACAGGAAGACTGTGCCAAAGTCAGTCAAATACATGAAACAGACAATGGGCCAAATGCTGCATTAATATAAAAAGTTACGATTAACAAACAGCAGAAATTACATCTTAAACACAACTAGGCGCTTCAATGTGAACATTTCTAGATTTCTGCTCTATTCGAAAACACATTTTTCTCTCTATAAGAAAAGTCATGACTCGACATGCTCATGCCGTGATTTAACTTCTTTGTGCTCATGAATAATTGCCAGTTTCAGAAAAGAGTTATTTCCAGCGCCAGCACTTTCTACAGCGACTGTTTCTTAGAAACATCCATCCATTCTTATTATTATTATGCTTAGCACAGGTCCGGATCGGGATGTGCGCTCTATTATTGTCTGGAACAAACTCAAAGCAATTTTAGCACATGTTTCACATGCATCATTGGTCATTAATAATTCCCTCTTTGACAATGCCAAATATAAACGCATTGTCAGATGTTTTATGCAATCTATAAAACATCTATGGAAAGGTAAAGTCTCAGTAATCCGGCAATATGTCTCAATTTGCATGCATCTACTCTGCAAATGTATTTTCATCCATCACAAGGAGCCGTGTCTCTCACCTTGAAGATGTTGCGCAGAGGCATAGTCCCGTGCGAGAAGCGATGGACGAACAGTGTCTCCAGGAGTCTCTTCACGTAGTGGAAGGAGTGACACATGCACGCCAAACTATAACAATAAAAACACTCAATTACCCATCAGCCCTCGGAAGCCATCGGTCCGTTTTACTGTGCAAACTGTCACAGAAATAGACACTAAACAAACTCTCTTTACACAGGACACTAACTTTTTTAATGATTAGCATTAAAGAGATCAAAGTTGTTTCTTTATTGTCATGCCACGACTGTAAACAGTAAATGCTAAAATGTGAAATGAAAAGCATTTTATATTGTTTCTGTACTTACTGTACAACCCAGTGTTTGCTGGTGGTAAAGTCATATTTAGGAGCATAAATAAACGGGACTCGGAAGTAAAACATGAGATAGATGAGCAGAGGGCCGGCGTACTCCGTCAGAAACACCTGAGAGAGAGACAGCGACAGTACAGAAGCGTTATAACGCGCTCAGTTCCTCTGCTGTAGGAAGTGCGGTCGTGTTTCCAGGTTATAAATATCTCATGCTCTCACAGAGATAATGTGACAGACACTAAACGGACTGGTTAAGAGAGATAGATTAACACACAGCCAGACAAACACAGACTTTAAGCACATCTAATGCACATAATTGAGTCAAACTATGACATTAGACACTGAGCTCTCTAATTTCTGCCATAATTATACACGACCGCCATTTTACAGGAATACTGTTTACAGAATAATGTTAAAGTGGAAAAATACTGGAAATTCTCATCTGGTGCTTATAGTTTTGATTATAATAAATCACATCTGGTTGCAGAAGTTTAAATATTTCAATGCAACTGAAGCTCAAACTGGATCCAAAATTTCTGCATAAACCTACAGTAGGAACTCCCCGCAGATTCCACACTAAACTCCAATGGAAACGAATGACTTCTGGTCTGTCGCTTGTCGTTCGCCAGAGACAGTGTGAAATGTATGAGGTAATTAGCTCAGACTGTGTGTGTGTGTGTGTGTGTGTGTGTGCGTGTGTGTATTTGTGTGCGTGTGTGTGTGTGTGTGCGTGCGTGCGTGTGTGCATGTATGTGCGTGTATGTGTATTGGATTGTCGGGCCGGATACCACTGAGGGTCTGAAACAAACACGTAAAATACAAGAAAACAATCACAGTACTGTAAATACACATGTGCACATTTTAACCATACACTTCCGTTCAAATGTTTGGGGCTGGTAAGGTGTATGTGTATGTGTATGTGTGCGTGTGTGCATGTATGTGCGTGTGTATGTATGTGTATGTGTGTGTGTGCATGTATGTGCGTGTGTATGTATGTGCATGTGTGTGCGTGCATTTGTGTGCGTGTGTGTGTGTGTGCGCGTGTAGGTGCGTGTGTATGCGTAATAAAGTTGTGGGTGAGTTTAGGTTTTGGTCTTTGCTTCTCCATTCTCTCAATGTGCATTCAAACGTTTGGAGTCAGTGAGATTTTTATGTGTTTTTGAAAAACGTCTCCTGCTCACCAAGGCTGCATTTATTTTATCAAAAAAATACCGTAAAAACAGTAATATTGTGAAATATTATTACAATTTAAAATAATGTTAATGCTTTCTGTGTGAATATACTGGAAAATATAATTTGTTCCTGTGATCAAAGCTGTATTTTCAGCATCATTACTCCAGTCTTCAGTGTCACATGATCTTCAGAAATCATTCTAATATGATGATTTGCTTCTTTAGAAACATTTCTATTATAAATGTTTAAAACAGTTGTGCTGCTTCATATTTAGGATTAGGATCTTTGATTAACAGAAAGTTTAAAAGAAAAGGATTTATTTGATGTACCTTTTGAATCAGCTGCAACTTTTGACAGCATGAATCTCTTATTATGCTGTCAAAGATAATATTAAACGAAATATTAAACAAAAGTTCAATACGTACTGGGATCCAAACGAATGGATTGTCGGGCCGGATACCACTGAGGGTCTGAAACAAACACGTGAAATACAAGAATTCAATCACAGTACTGTAAATACACATGCGCACATTTTAACCATACACTTCCGTTCAAATGTTTGGGGTTGGTAAGATATTTTTAATGTTTTTGAAAAACGTCTCCTGCTCACCAAGGCTGCATTTATTTTATCAAAAAAATACCGTAAAAACAGTAATATTGTGAAATATTATTACAATTTAAAATAATGTTAATGCTTTCTGTGTGAATATACTGGAAAATATAATTTGTTCCTGTGATCAAAGCTGTATTTTCAGCATCATTACTCCAGTCTTCAGTGTCACATGATCTTCAGAAATCATTCTAATATGATGATTTGCTTCTTTAGAAACATTTCTATTATAAATGTTGAAAACAGTTGTGCTGCTTCATATTTAGGATTAGGATCTTTGATTAACAGAAAGTTTAAAAGAAAAGGTTTTATTTGATGTACCTTTTGAATGGTAGTGTACATCTCAGGACTTAGAAACCTATTTGTGTACCATTACAAATTAGACACAGTGACTATCAATTGTTAAATGAATAATACAACATTTTGATAAATTAGGCTCTTGAAAAAGCTTAAACATATCAAATAGCACGGCTTCATTAGCCGAGTGAAGATCAGAGACTCATTTATACTCACGACTCTTGTGGAACATGGACTTGATTTCCCCGATTGTGGCATTGGGCTCAACCTGCCAATCAAACAAACACACATACACCAGTTTAGAGTGTGTGTGTGTGTGTGTGTGTGTGTGTGAGTGAGAGTGTGTGTGTGCTCAATCAGTGGCTGTCGGCCATCAGGAAGGTCAGTATTTATAATGAGCACATGCTGCCGTGTTCTGAGAGACAAAATACACCAAACAAACAAACGCACAAACACAGCCAACTGACCAGATCTCAGAACAAAAAAAAAACCCTACAGGTCCCGCTTTGAGTTTAACAAACAGCCGGGAGATTTTAGACATCGGCTTCCTTAAAAAAATCATTTACAATTATTTTTTAATAATTCAAAAAGCTAATGAATGCACACACTAAACCTCAGCTCTGATGCAATGAATATGCTCAAATATGCATTTATAAAAAATAAATAAAAATAAAAAATAAAATATGACTTTTTACTTCAATCACTACAAAAATCACTACACAACAGCTAGTAAATTTCAGAACTACAGAGAAACAGCAATTAACACCGAGTTATTTTGAAGCAGAAAAACTGAAATAGTATTTTCTTGTTAAAGCACTCCAATAATCATTGTTTTATTTACTACTTCGAAAAATTATTTTTTTACAGTGTACCATAAAATCACTTGTTTTGAATACAATACACTTTGAAGAACCTTGAACAAACACAATGGCATTTTTGGCACATATTAAAGCATCTGCCTGGGCTGGTCATTGACTTCCATAGTAGGAAAAAAAAAATACTATGGAAGTCAATGGCAACCACCAACTGTTTGATTACCAGCAATCTTCAAAATATCTTCATTTGTGTTCAACATAAGAAAGCAACTCATACAGGTTTGGAACGACACGAGGGTGAGTAAATGATGACAGAATTTTCATTTTTGGGTGAACTATCCCTTTAACTCTTCAGTGGTTTGGGGCTTCTCTCTGCGTACGATGTCATCACCACAGGCTTCCATTGCTCTGTGACATCACGACACCAGTAGGCCGTGACATCCCAGGGGAAGCGGCAGTTAATCCGAGGACATCCGTGTGCAATCCTCGATAATCCCGTAGCGTGGCTCCTGACATTCTAGAGGCCTCATTACAGGCACCTCCTTACAGGGACGACTACAGAAGGACCTCGAGCCTCCGTGCAAGAGTACACCACAACCCTGAGCCCAGAGTGCACGGCCAGGACAGTTTCTATAGATAGCACCACTCTAGGGATGAGATTTTTACAGTGGCAAAAGCGTGTGCATTCGTATGAAAATAAGAGGAAGAATAATTAAAGAGAGAACTGATTGAAACTAATGGTTACAAGGCAGTTCTATAAATGCGTAGTTTATAACTAACATTCATTTTAGGTTGAAATTCTTAATAGGTTCTTAATTCTTTATGATCACATTACTATTATAGTTATTATATTATTATTAGTTATTCACACATTTTTAATTGCAATTTAGGTTTCTGCTCTGCAGCACATTGTTAAAACTAAAACCATAGTTTCTTAAAATAAACATTAACTGACATCGCATTTTATAAAAAATTTATTTTATTACACTTGGATGCCAAGACCACATTTCTAATTTTCATTTGGTTTAAGTCAAAGGACTATAAAAAAACGAAATGCATTAAAATAAACACATCTAAACTACTAAAACTTTAACTAAAAATAAAATAAAAACAGAAACACTAATTTAAATCAATAATAAAAATTGCAATAGTATATTAATGATACTAAAATAACACTGCAGCGGCATCACAAATAAACTTGTCAAAGCACAAACATCCCACGTAGATTTTTAATTGAAATGAAGTTGTAAAATGTACATGTGCATAAATATCCATGAGAAAATGCTGTGTAAAACAGTTTAAGGTGTCTGTGTAATGCATAGAGTGAAAATGAAGGTAAAAATGTTTCCTACCTTGTCCAGGAAGCAGAGCTTGTCCTTCGTCTTGGCGTCCAGAATCTCCACCTCGAAAAAGACCACAGCTTTCTTAGTCTTTTTGGCCGGTTTGCGTTTGGCAGGGGTGGAGGTTCCGGGCACTGGTGCCCCGTTCTGAGCCTTTTTGGGCTGCGTGGCCTCTAAAGCCAAGGTATCCATATTGTCCGTTTTATTTATCCACTTTCTCTGAGTTTTTAACTTCTTTCCTCTCTTAGTCCCTCTTTCACCTCCAAAAACGAGTGTGGGACGGGAGCTTCACTGTCAGCTGTGGAAATAAATCTCTCTGTCTGTGCTCCCTCCCTCCCTCCCTCCCTCTCTCTCTTTAACTCGACCCTCCCATTTCTCTGTGTTGTCACCCTCTCGTTCATCTTTACATTTGGCCCCCAAACCAACCCCTAAAAGCACATGCATGAACAAATCAACAAGACTTGTATCTCATTATCCCACTCATAAATACTTTATTCTCTTCCGAACCTCGAGGAAACGTGACCCATCCCCAGTCATCCCAGTATGTGCTAATTATAACTTGTTTTATGGATGCACACACAGGGACATACAGAGGCCAGTCATCTAGAACCAATATTTACAGAAAACCCAACAACATCACATACAGAGTCACTTTACAGACTGTTTTAGGTGTGCACACTTGTGCTGGGGTACATCTAACAGTAAAGTCATAAGGTAAAAATTATTCTCACAAACATATGCCCAGGTCATATTTCAACCCCCAAAATGAAAAGAAAAAGAAACTATAAGAAATGAAGTAAAAAAATAACTTTTTTTTTTTTTGCATTATTTTCATGTCAATTAACCAAATCTTCCATTCACATTATTTTCAATGACAATTCTATTTAACCGTCATCAGATTTTCGTCGGTAGCTCACGCTGTTCGGAGCCGCGCGTTTTAGGGGGAAGGGAGAGAGAGAGAGATTATTAATAACTTAGAAAGGCATGAGCAGATGACACTGGAGGAAATACCCACTGCCACTGAGAGAAACTCCAACTGAAAGAACTGCCAACATTATTTTAAAGCAGAGGCGTCAGGACGATCAACTCCGTCTGAAGAAGTGCACGTGAGTGCCTTTCCCGCGCTTTATGGACTAACATGAATGTAGATATTTTTGATACTGTGTGTAATTATGTCAGTTTTGTGTCCTTCTTAGTTTATTTCATAATTTATTACTTATTTCCCAGAAAGCACACGCACGTCTGCAAGATGTCTGTCAAAGATCGCTTGAAGCATCTGCTGTGTACAAACATCTGATAGACCTCTTTAAGATGTCAGTTTTATATACAATCAGAATCAGAATGAGCTTTATTGCCAGGTATGTTTTCACATACGAGGAATTTGTTTTCATGACAGAAGCTTCCGCAGTGCAACAGAATGACAGTGACAGAACAAAAACACAGATAAAAGAATAATAATAATAAAAAAAGAACAAGTAAATAAGGAATAACAATATATAAATTGACAATTGTATGTGCAGGTATATTACAATAGACAGTTTTGTATGTACAGGTATATTATGTGCAAATTTGAAGTGTAGACTAAGTATGCGTGTTAGATAAATAAGTGTATGGGTGTATAAATAGTGTTGTGTGTTCCACAGTTATTGTCAAGTTATTTGTAAAGTCACAATAACACAGTTATTGCTATCAGATGTTTGTACACGGCAGATGCTTTCCAGATGAAGCGATCTTCGACAGACATCTTGCAGACGTACGTGTGCTATATGTGTAGAAACCAAGCGAATTGAAAATATGTTTGAACTCTGATTTTTTTTGTTACTTATTCTAAATCTACTTATTACATCTTAAAGACGTCTATCAGATGTTTGTACACGGCAGATGCTTTCCAGATGAAGCGATCTTTAACAGACATCTTGCAGACGTATACGTGTGCTATATGTGTAGAAACCAAGCGAATTGAAAATATGTTTGAAATCCGATTTTTTTTTTTTGTTGTTGTTGTTATATTAGAAGGCCTGATTTTTTTTTATAAGAAATGTAAAAATATAAATCTCTACAGAGAGGAAATGAAAGTGTCTTGATGAAGGACGAGACTAAATAGAGTCGTTCCAATAAATGCATAACTCAGCAACTTAAAATTAAGTTAAATTAAACAATTAGTATTCAACAAATTAACTTGGCATAGTACATTTTAACATATCCTTAAAATAAATAAATAAATACCTTCCATGGACAGAAAAGTACGCACTCAACCATCTGATAGAGTAGGTCAGTCGGTCAGAACTGTAAATATGCAAATATACGACTTATTAAAATGGGAAGCGCCCGTTATGACCTCACGCATATGTGTTTATATTGGTGTGTTTCACCGTTTCTTGTAAGAAACAATTTAGTTTCGCTTTCATCGGTGTCCAGTAGCAGGCCTATGGGTGGAGCAGCACATCCACGTGGTTCGGGAGCGGATGGAAACAACCAGAGACTTTGAGAAATTTCTCGAACTTTCCTCGCGGTTTCAAATAGAGCGCAGCAGAGCGAGGCGGGGGCATAAACACCCACAGGTGGATGGGACAGCATCTCTCCGGTCAACTTACTCTCAGATATATTAGCAAAGATTTGTTTTAAGTTGCTGTGAACTGAACTCAACCGACAGGCACCTCAACTTAAGTAGGACTTGCCTGAACCCGCTGTTTGACGTTCGGAGAATATCGACTTAAAAATAAAAGCTCGATGGTGAAGATGGGGAAGGATTATTACAGTGTTTTGGGGATTCAGAAAGGCGCATCCGACGATGAGATCAAGAAAGCTTATCGCAAACAAGCGCTCAAGTACCATCCGGACAAAAACAAGTCTCCCGGCGCCGAGGACAAGTTCAAGGAGATAGCGGAGGCGTACGACGTGCTGAGTGACCCGAAGAAGAAAGACATTTATGACAAATTTGGCGAAGAAGGTGAGTAAAATGATGCAAGCTTGTGTGTCATAACTGTTGCCATGCCTGATGACGCAGATACAGATGGGGAGAAATTAAGACACACTTTTAGTAATTCGCATTAAATCATATAGTGTGCACTGAGTGGATCGGTTGTTTAATCTGTATGTGATTCTGCATAACGTGCGCGATATTGACAACGCAGTATGTAGATAACCAAGTATATTCTAGATCGAGAGAAAACAATCTGGTGAAACTACTGTAATGTTTTGATTACGTTAAATAGATCCGATTTGTGATGCTGCGTTCTGATTGGCTACTTAAGTGGGGCTTTGTGGAGCGCAGCGTGCTTGCTGGAAGATTCTGATGGTCACGTGGTAGAAAGAGGCGGAGCGTTTGAGTGCTGTCAGCAGTTTAGTGCCAGTTCGCCCTAGGGTTGTCCCATTCCAGAAATTTTGAAACAATCCTAGACTTGTTTTTTGAAAAAAATATAAAGTATATTCTAAACGATATTGACTATTAAAGACAAGAATTTCCATAAAAAGGAACCTGTGGTGAATTCCAGTTGGGAGGAATTCAAATTCCTAGCTCTTCTGGGGAGGTGTAGTAGTTTTAATGGATAGTAAAGCTTCTCAATTCACCTGCCATTGGCAGTATTGGCAAAAAAGTAAATTTTGGACCCTTGGTGCAGTATTTATGAGTTGTCTGTGATCTTTATACAGCACCATGCAATTCTGTAATATGTGTCCTCTTTGTTTGCCATATGCAGGACTGAAGGGAGGCATCCCCGGCGGTGGAGGTGGTGGCGGTAATTTCTCCTACACTTTCCAAGGCGATCCTCATGCAATGTTTGCAGAGTTTTTCGGAGGACGGAACCCTTTCGAACAGTTCTTCGGACGCAACGGTGGCATGGAGGAGGATATGGAAACTGATGACCCATTTGCCAGTTTTGGCATGGGTGGCATGGGCGGTTTCCCCCGCTCCTTTCATTTTCTGAACATGATGCTGTAGTCCTCAGTGTTATCTTTATTTGGCACAGCAAAGACAAATGAAGAACTTAAGCCTTCAGGAATCAGCCCGACAGACACACACACCACAATCAGAGCAACCAGATATCCAATCACACACCGGAATCCACTGCTAAGCACCTCTCTGTGTTTAGTGTTTTCTCATAGTGCAGCAAGTTCTATTTTTATAATGTCTGCAGTCATTTACTGCATCACGAAATTGCTGCCTTGCACTTCTAAAGGTTCTAAACACAACTTGACCTGATTCAACAGTAAATTTAAGGATCGTTCCCATCTCTATTAATTAACTTTTCTACTTACCGAGTGGAAAATCGCAGTGGACCTTGGGATCGTGCCAAACAATGACGTCTGCGTCACTGATTTATAAATAAATAAACGATTGATTGATTGATTGCACTGATTAATGATAGAGGGCATATAAGAAGTCATCTTTCAATTGCTTTTGAATAAAGTCTACCAAATTCATATAAAAAAAATCTATGAACCTGAATTACAAGGAAACATTCACAGATTATTCACTGATTAATATCAATAACACAATAATTACAAATCATCTGCCATCTTCACACTAAATATTCTTGCACAATAATAGAGGCAATTAAAGGAAACGTAGATCACTTGAGGGGTCTGAAGTACAATAAATCACACATCCAACAAGAAAAAAGAAACCAACAGTTAAAGAAAGTTAATATATTTACATCAAAATGAATGATGGCTATAAAACAAGACTTGTAAAATTGCTCATTTACAAATAAAAGCAGAGACTGTCATGTAATATGTAAAAGCATTGATTCTGTCGTAGTGGTATTTTACTGTATGACAATGGTACTTCGCTCATTTCCTGAACCTGATGCTGTAGTTCTCAGTGTTTTTTGCGTCCACAGCAAAGACATCTGAAGATCTTCCTGTACTGCTGCCTGACCTGGACAAGAATGAGACGAGAGGAGCTGAGAGACTTCATTTAACCTCTGAAACTCATGAACCAGAATGGAGTTTATTTATAATAAACAGGTGAGAAAAGAGGCTTGAGAGACTAGATTTGCACTTTCAGAAGCAAATGTTTTACTTTCCTTTCTTATACTGTCTCCTGGAGACACTGAAATGGTTTTGGTCCCGCTTTATATTAGGTGGCCTTAACTACTATATACTTACTGTACATTTAAATTAATCATTTGATACAATGCACTTATCATGTACATATGTTTTTTAATTGTTCTTATATTTTAACAAATACCTGCATGTAATTACATCTGTAATTCATTTCTGTACCCTGTCTCTAACCTCACCTGTATCCCACCTCAATAGCAGCAAAAGTGTTTTACAATACAGTATGAAAACAATAAGTGTGTTGTACTTAGTTTTTAATGTAAGTACATAGTAGTTAATGCCACCTAATATAAATGAACATTAACAGCATTAACAGTCTTTAAACACGGGATAATCCACATCAGGAACTGGAGCAAACACACGTAGACAACACAGCAGACCCGACAAACACAGACTGAACAGACTGGGGCTAAATACACAGGATAACGAGGGACAAGACGAGACACACCTGACATCAATGAACAATCAACGTGAGGGAGAAACTGGGTCACGGAGCACATGGGGAGGGAAAACACAACAAAAGCCCTATTCGGACTGTAATTGTTTCTCAGGGCGACGTAAGTGATTTTCACCATTTACAGGGGGTAGTTGGTGATTTTAATGCCGTCCGAATCCAGGAAAATCCCCGGCCGAATTACCTACTGTTTTTTGACAAACACCAAGGTCGTGTGGTAACTTAATTGTCCTCCGAATCCACATCTCTGAGTTTACGAGAAAAAAATCGATTCAAAATTCAGTTTAAACCCTTTTTGAGCACTCTCGAACACCGAAAGGTAACGTTGTAGCCTACTTCAGTATAATTTCAATGTGTATTATAAACAGATATATATCGCGTAAAATTATATACAACTATAGCACGTCTATTTTCCTATTTTTTAAACAGGAGATTTAAATAATCAACTAATAAATAGGATTATATATTATAAAATATGCTTGGAATAATAAGAATACATTTTACATAATAAGTATTTTTAAATACATTCTTCACAATAATAAGAATACATTTGTAAATAAAATTAATTTTATTTACAGCAGACAATCATGTGACTGGCCACGTGAGCAGCGCGTTCCCGGGTTTGTAGGATCACAGAACTCGCTCCTCAACTGAATATATCGCCATCCGAATCTATGAGTTTTATCACTGAGGTGATATGTAAATGTGTTTTTACAGACATCCATATGAGAAACAATTACCGTCCGAATCGGGCTAAAGAGAGTCCAGAGGCGTGACAGTTACGAGTTGTGGGAAAAATCAGGAGAGGAAAACAAAGAGCGCTGCATTTACAGTTTTCACCACTGATTTACATTGGAATAACGTGGGGCACTTTTGAGCTCGGGAGAGAAGTGCCAAAATAAGAAGAAGGACCTCCATAAAACCAACTGGAATATTATTTAATATCCAGATTTCAGATGTAAATTGAGTGAAGTCTGACCTCATTATTGAGGACACAGTAGATCAGGAAGATGAAGGTTCCCTGCTGGGAGTTCACGATCAGGAAGAGGATCTCCAGCACCTTACTGCCATTAGTGAAGAAACCCAGAATCCAGGAGCAACCAAGAACCACACACTGAGCCAGTGTTTTAAAACCATGATCCTGCAGAGAAACAGAGAAAGAAAGAGTTAATGTGTCTTCATTGACTATATTGTTTTGTTAAGAGTGGTAGAACTACAAACAATGCATATTACTTGGTTTGTTTCATCTGTGAAACTTCAGCGTTGAGATTTTTGAGAGTTGAGTTCAGGGTGATGACGATCCTTATGAAGATAATCATGTTTAACTGCAGAGAAAGAAGAAACTTAAATCTAAGATCACTTTAGTATTTTGGTTTCAACAGCCCGAGTGAAAAATTCCTGTAACTAGAACTTACTGCTAGTATGACACAAACAGGACCCAGAAAACTCCAGATAAAACCTCCATCTTTTTTAATCCAGCAACTGTTCAGAAGAAAACACAATATAATAACTGAATGAACTGATCAAAAATACTATTTCAGGTGCTGACTGGTGAAATATTACTGGAAAAAGTGTAATAAACTACAAATATATTATAATCTTACGGGTGATTTTGAAACTGTATAAAATGTATTTATCAGAGAGCAGTGTTGTTCCAAAATATCTAAGCTGTCAGTCATAAACTAAGAAGTGTGTTTGACTTCATGTGGTGCTGCAGAGACCGATCTGCGTCTGACATGAAGCAATTAATGCATGCCGGTTAGAAATTTTGTGTGACTTGAGATGTGTATTAATAAAGTACTGAATGAAAAGCCTTTATTTTGCTACATAAAAATGTCTAAAATATCTGTGTATTTGACAAACATTGCATCTAATCTACTTCATCTGTGACAAAGAACGCAGACACCACATGAGCATCACTACCGGAGGCAGAAAGTGTCCGACTTCACGTCTCTATTTTCAGCTCCTCCCCTGACTACAAGTGGCAAGTCTTACTGATCGGTTACATCCAGCCGCAGCTGAAGTTAAACACACCTGTCTTTATATCATCTAATCAAATCAATTTTTAAAAAAGCAACTCACTGTTCGCTGCCGTAGCCTTCAGGAACCAGACCGACAGACACACAGACCACAACCAGAGCAACCACATATCCAATCACACACAGGAATCCACTGCTAAGCACCTCCCTCTTTTTGGAGCTGAGCTGTGATAGGCTGAATATTAGATGTTTTCAGATGTTCATCAGTGCTCTGATAAAACAAAAGCACATTTGAGTCTCTCACTCTGATGTGTTTGAGGGTGAAGTTGACTGGTTTGGTGAGTTTAGTGTTGGTGGTTTTGGGAAGAGTAGCTGAGATCACAGTAGACATCATGGTGTTAACCGTGTCTTTTGATGTGTTGAAGAAGTCTGGCTTCAGTAGATTCTCCATCGTGTTGTAGCTCATGAAAGCCACAGCATCTGATCCTGTGAGACAGAAACAGAAATGCAATACTATGTTAAAACAACAAAAACAATCAAAAAATAAGTAAATGTGGTTTAGTGGTGATGGTATGATGTCACTTTCTACAACTTTTTTTAATCACGCTGAAATATTTTGACATACTTTCATTGTTGTTCTTGGCGATCCCAATGAGATCGATGTCCACAGAAGAATTTGTCGTGTCGAGTCGAGGGATTTTCTCTATGGTGACCTGTGGTCCAACCATGAAGACTTGACCCTCTGAATAAACACAAACAAGCATATGCTATAGTTATTTATTTACAATATGTATCTTTTTTATTGTTATTAAAGTCAAATTCAATCATTGAATTTGCACAAAAACAAAACAACTATTCACTATTGTTGGGTTTTCATCTCTGATGTAGTTTGAACCCTTCAGGTCAACTTTAAAACAGTGTTTTCTTTAATCTGCTATATGAATACATATATTTACTATTAACTCTTACACAAAATACTGACCTTTGACATCAACAACATAATGTACTTTTTACTTCCTTATAATAAAAATGCATAACTCTAGTCTGCACAGTCATATAGTAATGCTGCTTTCAGCATAGCTGCTGTCTGACCCACTGCTGCTCTCTAGACTGAATGAAGTCCATGACATCATATATAATCTCAGTTTTATCATCAATAATAATTGTGTCTCCTCTTACCTACAGCAGCAAGAGTAAAACTGACATTGGCACTTGTGTCTGTCTGCTTCACCAATGTAGAAATGAGTTTCTCACTGGTTTTTAACACACGGTTTCCATAGGAGGTTAGTTCAGCTGGGTTTACTGATGATGACTCAGAGATCTTCTCTGAAGCATTGAAGGTCATAGTCAAAAGGCTTGTCACAGTCTAATTCATTGATCAGATAAATACAGTTACTCTACATGTAAATATCAACAGAGCCAATAAGACAGCACTGCTATGTC